CGGCCGCGGCCCCGGACGCGGCGCCGACCCCGGACGCGGCCCCCGCCCCGGCCCCGGCGCCGGCGCCCGCCCCGGACTCGGCCTCAGGGCCGTCCTCGGACTCCGGCCCCGAAGCCGGCTCGCAGCGGCTGCTCTTCTCTCACGACCTGGTGTCGGGCCGTTACCGCGGCTCGGTGCACTTCGGGCTGGTGCGCCTCATCCACGGAGAGGACTCGGACTCGGAGGGCGAGGAGGAGGGCCGCGGGAGCTCGGGCTGCTCCGAGGCGGGGGGCGCGGGCCACGAGGAGGGCCGGGCCAGCCCGCTGCGCCGCGGCTACGTGCGCGTCCAGTGGTACCCGGAGGGCGTCAAGCAGCACGTGAAGGAGACCAAGGTGCGGCGGGCGGGCCGGGGGGCCGGGGTCCGGGGCCGACGCGGGGACGGGAGTTGCTGCAGGAGCCCTAGGCCGGGGAGGGGAGGCGCGCGAGGCGCTGGCCGGCGTGGTGCAGCCGCAGTGGGCCGAGGTGGGAGGACAAGCCTCCGCGGAGGGGACGCTCCGGTGCAAAGTCATTGCACCAGCCCCGGGCCACCGGGCGCCGCGCTTCCCCCCCACCCCCGCCCCCCTCCGCCCGCGAAGGGGCTTCCACGCCTGGCCGTGCTGTGGTGTCGGCCTCAAGATTATGTGGACCCACTACCGTGGGGGAACTTCTCAGACTCTGAGGCACGCTCGGCATGACACCAGTGCGGCGTTTTGCTGACCCCCAAGGAGCTACATACTGCATTGTGCATCCCGAAAGGAAGGCCGTGCCGGGTCCGTGCAGGGAAGGGTTGTGGGCGGTCCAAAACAAAGGTAGAGGTGAAAATCTCGGGCGACGGATAAGCCCGAGAAGTTCCCCAAATGACAGAATGCGTTATTATGGGTAAAGAAACCCCAACCCCTCTTTAAAAAACAAAAACAAAAAAACCAAAAAAACCCCAACCTTGTTGCCTCATTGTAATTGCTGCGGGGAACTTTGTGAGTAAAATCATTAACAATCAGAGCCGTGATATTAATAGTACGGGAAGGGGGGGATGTGACAGCTGCGACTGGAATTGATGACTCCCAAGTGCAGTTGGACTTCTTGAAAAAAATACTACAGAACCATGGATGGAAAAGAGCCACCCGTTCAGAAGCCCGAAGGGTTTTTCCTGACCTGAGGCTGGAGGCACGCCTCAGACTCCCATACGGTACTGGGGTGAGGCTGGTGAATATTGCAGTCTTTCCCAGCAAAGGGGTGCATCGTCTTAAACCCGAAACCTTGAACCCAGGTTGGCCTGGTGGCTTCCTGTGTCTTGTTTTCCTGAGTGTGAACTCCTATCGGCGGTTCCCACCCAGGCACACACCCTTGTATCTTTCACCCCTTCTTCATCTCGTCCTCTTCCTCCCCTGCCAGAAAACATTTCTAAGCAGGAATCAGGCCTGTGCTGTTGACAGGTGTGATTTCAAGGGAGGGCGCTTGAGAAGTTCATCTGGGTTTCTCACACGCTGGGAGACAAAGGCCACCCTACCAAGGGGGTCTGTGATAACAGCTCTGGCAGGGGAAAGGCCGCTCTCCCAGGAAGAGCCTGCGAACCACTTCCCCGGGGCAGAAGTGACCCTTGGTAGCAGCAGAGTCTTTCTGCTGGCCAGTGCGCGTGCCTCCCCAAGACCCCGAAGTCCGCACGCACGCGGGTCCCTTGCCTTCCCCTCAGAGAAATGCCAATCAGGCAGTGGCTGCCCCGACTGAAAGAAAATGACAAGTTCGTGTACAAAAACAAACAAACAAACACAAAAGTATGTGGGAAATGCTACTTTCTATAGCGGAATGCTCATTAGCAATTCCCATCGGTGTTGTTACGTCGGAAAGACGATTTTTTTTTGGTCTTTATGCCGTGTTTCTGCATTGTCTTACTAGCACATGGTTGCTAATGTCTTTCTGCGGGTTTTTTTTTTTTTTTTTCTCCTTTAAACAAAAAATTTTTTGCCCTGACCATCTTCTCCAGAGGTTTGTGACTTTCGGAAGGCAACTCATTTCACCGTGTCACGGCCTCCTGCCCCGGGACTCAGGCTGCCCGGCCAAGTTCACTACCGGGAGCTGCCATGTTTATCAGTTGTCGGTTCCCGTTCATCTTGACTTTGGTGGTTAACTTTGTTTACGGTTATGTTCTGCCCGCCTCCTTCCACCATGTGTAATTATCTACAGAGTTGGGCTTAAAATACCTATTTAGGAATTAAGCAGAAAATAACTGTAAGGTAAGGCACCGGCTTGGATATATCTTGAAGGTGGCCTCTGGTGATTTGCTTTGAATTTGTTGAAGTCCACCGTAGCTCCGGTGGTGGTGTTTTCTTTGCCACCGGAGCGTCTGTGGCTTCTGAGCTTAGGGGCCTGGGAACCTTAGGAAATGGGGGCACGTAGCATCCATCTGTGGATGGCAAGACCCAGTTCTTTGAGAGTAGGTTTGTTGGGGAGGGGAGTTGTATACCCGATAAGTAGCTCTAGGGTCCCAGGAACTCTAGGCACAGATGACCCGACTGGGGCGGTAGGGTGGGTCCTGGGACCTTGCACTTTCGGAAGTGGTTTAGGAAGAGTTTTGTTTTTTTCTCTTCTTCTCACTTCTCCTTGGAAATCCGTAGAGGCTGTAAAGGAAAGACTCTCAGACCAAGGCTGAACATTTAGGTTCTGATGCCCACTCCATCCGATTTGGTTAGGAGATCTGAGAACCCACTTACTGATAGAATAACGTGGTTGACGGTGTGGAGAAACGTATTTCTTTTTAAAGCTGCCACCTCTTGGCATCTTTTAAAATAGTACCCTTTTAATGTGGAGTGTTCAGTAGGCTGTGGAGTATTTCTGTCGTTTTCAGGTTAATTTGTTGGGCAATGAGTAAAGGGGTAATATTAGTCTCTTGATGCACGCTTGAAAGGAACAAATTCATGACGAGACATGAAGAGGCTGGCCGACAAGTTCTGCCCCCTCCTGGCCCCTTCAGTGAAAATTAGCAACAGAAATCAAATAAGTAGCTCTTCCTTGGAGACTGCAGAATTTATGGTCCAGTTCCTGAGGCTTCCAGCAGCCAACGTTGAGCTTCTTCAGGACTTAAACACGAAGTTTGTGCTCCTTTCTTCCCTCAATCTTCTGACCCCTTCAGCACGGTACTCCTCGAGACGTCCCCGTTTGGCCATGGGTCTCCTTTGTGACTGACCCCTTCCCCATCAGCGACCATCCTTGAGTAAACTTTTGGAATAAAGCCAAATGCCGGTAGTCTCTCTGCCTTCTCGCGCACTGGCTAGACCCGGCGGGTCTTTCTGGTCTCCAGCGGTTATGGTTGGACACAATGGCCCCTGTAAGGAAGAGAACAGACTGCCGTCTGTCCGTCCAAGTTTGGGGGCTTCCTGTTTAGGCTTTGGCTTTCCCATCTCTTGTGCGCTGTCCCTTGCTTTGAGTTACCACAGCGTTCAGAGTCTCTCCTGGTTTGAGATTTGATGTCTCAAAATGAAGCTGTCTCTGCGATCACGCTGCTTTTCGAAGGCCGTGTGTGTGTGTGTGTGTGTGTGTGTGTGTGTGTGTGTGTGTGTGTGTGTGTGTAGCATCCCTCATGACACATCCCTCAGGAATTGGCTTTTCGGTTTATTTTTGGCTTCTACTCAGGCCAGCATTTCCACTGGGAAAACTGTTTAGGTGTAGCATCATGGCATGTGAAGCTGGCTTTGCTTCACTCGTCCGGGTGCTGGACTCATTAAAAGTCATTGTTCTTAGTGATGTAATAGGAAGAAGTTATGGAAGGTTAACCAAGATGCAGGACCGAGTGCATCACGTTGCACTTGACTCAGAGGGGATCACAGCACTTGTAGACTCGCACAGCTCCCCTGTGCTTTTGTTCTTTGTCCTTTGGTTTCCCCCCTTCTGACTTCTGGGACCCGGTGCCGTGATGGAGCCTCTGTCTGACTTGCCGCCTTGCTCAAGGGCACTTTCACCAGAAGAAGGGTGTGTGTTTGTGACCTGTTATTGGAAGTCAAAACCCTTGGGTGCTCTTCCCAGCTGTCACCTACTCTGAATGACCTTGGCCTAGTCACTGCCTCATTTTCTCTCTGCAGTAAAATACAAGATCTGTCTTCCTAGCCCCTGAAATGAGCCTGAACCAGAAGCGTAGCTGAGTGCTGTGGCCACTTGGCTGTTAGCAGACACCAACCTGCTGTCCATCGGACAGAGCCAGACACCCCTGCCCCGTCCCTTCAGGAGACCACTTCCATGCGTCACAGAGTGGGGCTACACCCAGGAGGCACCTTGGGAGGCAAAACGTGCGCCACAGGGGTTTGTTTCAGTGGTGTAGGAGTTCCTCGTTGATCATGTTGTTGCTCTTGACCTGGTGGGTTATAGATTGGACTTCTTTATTTATTTATTTATTTAT